AATCATTGGTGCAGAAGGACTTCCAAACTATGAACTAGGTGACTGACCAAGGAGTCCATGATTAGAGTTGGGAAGCACATGTGTTTGAGTAGAAAACATAGGTTTAACATTATAAAATCTAGAGGCCTGATTGAATATGCCTTTATTCTTGTTCTTAGTCCCAGTATATGGTTTGAAACCTCCAATAGCAAAATGTGATTGACCAAAAGTGTAAGAGAAACCACGAGTATAAAAATTAGAGCGTTTTGAAGCAGATGGACCTGTGTTGGCAACCATAGCTGTCATAAAAGGTGCAGGGGTGGAATAATCAACAATGGCTTCTTCGACAAGCAACTATGATCTGAAATCTTTAAGTGAAATCACACTTTCACGCCCCCTTATGACACATCTAAAGGTGTTATACTCAGCTGGTAGCCCATTAAATGCAAGGATTACAATGTCTTCATCTGCAAAATACACTCTAGCAGCAGATAGATAGTCTCTGGCTTCCTTAATTCGATGGAAGTACTAAGAAATTAAATCAGATCCCTTCTTAATTGTCTGCAAATTAGACTTCATCTGAAAAATGCTAGTCCTAGACACAGTGGAAAATTGTTCCTTTAACCTAACCCACAAATCTTTGGAGCTAGTGCTACCAATGGCACAAGACATAGTAATAGGTGATAATGTTGCAGTAATCAATTGCATAATGGCTCTATCATGCATTTTCCACACGACATATTCATCATTCATAGCAGAAGAAGAAGTAACAGGAGAATTGTTACCAGATTCGCCGGATATCGAGACATGTTGAGATGGACAGGAAGTAGAGCCATCAACATACCCCATGATTCCATTGCTTTCAAGCAAAAGCTGCATCTGAAAGTGCCAATTAAGGTAGTTTGAATCATCAAGCTTGACATTAACCGACATAGAAATGGACGGAATGAGAGCCGTAATCGAAGATTGAAGCAGCTGAAGTTGCGAAACAGTCAACATCGTGATTCCAAGCTCCAATTACTAGTGAAACAATACAACAGACATGTGGTGTGCAATATGTATAGAAAACCGATCAAGAACTGAAGATCAATATAGAAACCCTAGAAATTATAGAAACAAGAAATTGGAGAAGACGAAGTACCGAATTGAAGAGGATAATCGATCCGAGAAAGAATGTGCGGAAGCAGTAAAGGATTGAAACGTCAAGCGTAAGCTACAATGGCGATTGATACCATGTTAAGCTATATCAATTGATCATTCATACAATGTAATCTTGTATATTGAAGGAAGAACAGATGAGGAGTTTTAGAGGGAGAGAAAAGAATGTTAGAGAGAAGAAGAACAATCTGTATATTTCTTAATCAGTAAGTAATTACATGAGGTTAGTCTTATATAGGTTGTTATAAGTTACAAAGCTAACAACCTAACTAACTGATATGATAGGATTATGACAAGTGTCTCAATCTTAAGCACTATACTCTAACAACAATAAGTAAAACAAACAAATTATTTCAAGAGAGATAGGATCAATGGATTATGACAAGTGTCTCAATCTTAAGCGCTATACTCTAACAACAATAAGTAAAACAAACAAACAAATTATGACAAGTGTCAAGTTTGTGACCTTCGTTCGGTTGCTCCGATCACCTAGTGGGGATAATATATGTAAAGAGATAGAGGTAGGGAAGCAAACACAAGATGTACGTGGTTCACCTTAAGTTTGGTTATGTCCACGGGGTAGAGGAGTTCTCATTAATAATGAAGGGTTTACATAATACATATGTTCAAGCAAAATCATCATTAGTGGGTTCTAATGATGAGTTTAAGTACAATAATTGCATTCATCCTTAATTGTAGGATAATGGTCTTCTTTTATAGTTGAGAAGAGTCTCCGGCTTTTGTCCGTTGTCAATATGGGAATCTAGGTGCTTTAGTTTGACGTTGACATGTGTCGTGATGTGATTAGCCTCCTGGGCGGAGGGAAACTCTTGTGCTTTGGCAAGGGTGCCTCGGCATGAATCCCTTAGGGGGTCCTTGAAGGTATGAAGTTAACCGGTGCTTGGTAGTTTTGAGATTGGTCAAGTATGGTACAAACACTATTAACTAGACTTAATTGAGTAGGTCGGGCTCATACTTGAAGGGGATTCGAACACGGACCTCGGGTGGAAGGGTGAACTACCCTTCGAACATAGGACCTCAAGTGAAATGGTGAATATTCTTAACCAACTGAGTTACAAGCCACTTGTTATGTTTAAATTGCATAGTATGAATTCTTGCTATATTACTCATTAAAAAAATGGAGAAAATAAGAATTTAAGTTTGTCACGGAAATGAAAAGTGCTTTATTTTTTAGGTGCCATAAACATATGGCCAACTTGGGTTTTCTGTAACATTGTGCCTTCATGGACTTATTAGATTTGTCAAAGCGTGCCCCATCTAAAGTTTGGACCTAACTCGGCCCAGTAACATTTTTAGGCCTCTTTACGCTTGAATGAAACGACACGTCGTACTATTCGTCATCCCCGTTTTTCTCAACATCTTGATCCTTCTTTGAGTCCTAAAAATTGGTTAACTAACGACTGCAAGGGGACTTCGTATATTACTTGCGTTTTGCACGCACAGTCAAACACCGAGAGAGATGCCGGAGCCACCGCTGCCGTCATTACCGGCGAAGGAACTACCAATCAACCGCTACAAGTTCATTTGGCGAGTCCTCATGATCTCCAATCTTGTTCTCGGAGGTCAGCCAGCTTCCTCATCTTTTCGGCTCTACTTTCTCTGCGATTTTTTGCATTAGATTATTAGCTTATGGATACGGGTTTGTAAAACCCTAGATTTTTTTACTGTTTGAGCGTCTGAGCAAAATTGGGTTATGGGTTTTGTTTATCTGAGCAGAAGTTTGATTTAAGAGACTTGGAATGCGTGTTTTCGTTTCTGTACGTAATGTGTTTGATTTGGCGTCCCATAGAAGCGTTTTTAGGCTTAGAATGTTTGATGGGTAATTTGTATTTGTTGTTAAATGCTAAGTTAGGAAAGTGTAATTTGTTTTGTCATGGTGCTCATAGAATAGGGATCCAGTGAGAGAGAAGGAAAAAGTTGAGTCTCTTCAGCCCCTTGTCCGATTTCTGTCAAGGTCTTTAGGGTGTTTTTTGGGGACCAAATCATAAACATAAGGTTGAAACTGATGGATGTTATTGTAATTGGTATAGTTTGGTCCAAGTCGGCCAATTAATGTCATAGGCAACCGATTTCGGATAGCCTTCACCATGTGTAGGTAATAAGACGTGTGGTTGTTCGTGCGGTATGCTGATTGAAATTTGAATTTCTAAATTTGGAAGGCCTTGGCTGTGGCCTGATAGAAATTAAAAAGCTTAATAGCGTGATTTTTAAAATAAAGTGGTAGTAAGTTAACATTAATGAGCAAACCTTAATTAGGGAATCTTGCTGGAATGATTGCCGTGATGGCTTTTGTATGGGAAGAAATTTAATCACTCTGATGGCTGTAGTGTCAGTGTACCAGTAATGCTGAATTTCATTGACAATTTGACATTAGATTACTCCATCTATAGAAACTGTTATTTCACATCTCTAGCGCCAAGTATACAAGGTATTCTTCACTGTCTTGTGATCGACAGAAACCTTGCCAGAAGTATACATCCATTTGTCCTTTGGGATTTTCCCTCTTAATCCAAATGTTTAAATTTTTTTCCCTATTTGTTAAAAGGGGGACGGGGCAAGGTGGTTTGGAGGTTGTTAAAGCTGTTCCCATGGGAAGTATGAACTGAGTATGACTGATATGGGTATTACATCCATTGCGAGAAACAAGAGGTTGCCAGTGTTTACTTTATCAAGATATTAATCTTTGTGTGAAATATCCCTTCTATGCTTCTATTTGCATGCATGTTCATGTGCTTGTGCGTTGGGTGTGCCTCTGTGAATGAGTTGTGCGACTGTCTCCCTGTTCAATCTTCCGATAGGAAGGTTTAGTCCCCTTCCTACCCTGATAATCAGCGGGCTACTGCCACCTGGACAAAAGCCATCTTCCATCCCTTATACTTTGATCGGTTCGATAATTGTCAAATGACTGCCTATTTTTCCACTTCACACACACATTGATGGTTTCGTTAGATCGCGAATAGTTGGGGTTTCACTCTAGATATTTAAGATGATATATTCATCACCTCATGACTTGGACTAAGAAATAACCAATCAAGAAAAAAGGGGAGAAAAGCTAACATTTGGTGAAATAGTTTCTTCCCAATAAAGATATATTCACCCTTAGTTGATGTCTGTGTTTATCACACAAATTTTCCACAGTATGAATAACATCATTGTCGAATTCAAAAGTTAACCTCAAAGACAGGATTAACCGACTTGCATCTGAACTCTTGCAGCTTACATGTTTATTGGCGTCAAGAAGCGAGATCCTGGCACATTGAAACGGAAATCAGAAACAGGCGTCAAAAATCACAAACCTGTAGTAGAAGTGCCCTCTGTTCCTGCAACAACTCCTACAACAACCAGTACAACTTCTGAGACATGGGATATGTGACGATGTAGCTTCCTAGCAACATCAACATTTCAAAGCAGACCCCGAAAAAAGCGAAGAAGATACAATCTTAAACAGTTTTATCCTTGCAGAACTGGTACCAAGTTTTTAGCTGGTGCTTCTCTTTACTGATAGAATCTTATACAGGGAGATGGATTTTTAACAAGGTTGATTTCAGCGGATTAATTTGTTACTATTTTTTAGCGTAGGTAACATGTTTGCAACATATTATCTTGCCAATATTTGCACAAGTTAAGGATATCCCGTGTCCATGAGAACAATCTGTATCTTGTGTCGGCAATTTGTTGCAATAAATTATATTTTTTGTCTTTTCACATACATAATATGAGAATATGGATACGACTAGTCTTAATCTAGTAGTACTTCTTTGCACAAGGGCTCTCAAGTTTGAATCTCTCATCTCGTATTATTCCGAAAAAGAGTAATACAGTACGAAATGGTGAATGCGAAACTAAACTGACAATTTAGATTTGTCATTAGTACTCAACTGAAGAATAATTTTTCTAAAACATCATACTAAAGAAGGTAAATGGTCATTTGAGGAGAAAAATCTGTGTACGACCGCCACATACAACCTTTCTCCCATTCTGATGGGACCACGGGTAGAAACAGAAAGCAGGGAATACGGAAAACCCTTTTTCTGTATGTGTGGCCGCACAACCATGTGGTTCGACTGGTGCAACTGAGTTCGACAGTTTCACCGGTGAACGCACCTCAGTTTCGACAGTTTCACCGGTGTACCTTCGAATTTTCTGTCATTGAGTGCCTCCTTTGGGAGCCCGACCAGTTCTTGGCAAGTCGGTCAGATGATAAAAAATTTGTCATTTTTCCTCTCAGCCCTTTGAGGTGAAGACTTTGATGTGGTTAATAGTTAATGAAGGACCCACCATTGTTGTACACCAAATCTCCCTCCTCTAACGATATCCACACTTCCCATCCAATCCCATCTCCCACCTTCAAGCCCTCAACCATTCATCAAATTATTACAAATCTTAAAAATAAAAAATAAAACAGAAGTTTGCAAATTCTTTGTCTCTGCAATGCCAGGAACCATCAAAGTTTCAGGTACTAAAAGCTATTTTTCAACTATAATTCAAACATGAAACGGCGCTGATAAGCTAATCTCGCCTAATCCTATTTTTAAACAGTCGGTGATGTCCAACATACGTTAACTTTTTTCTTTTTCTTCACGTTTTGCTGAATTTGCAGTTCTCGAGTTCATAGACCTTCCTTCTTCCTCAATATCCATCAAGGGTAAGCAATTATTTATTCTTAGCTTAATTTCGTTCTTCGAGTTTCGGTCTAGAATTTCTAACAATTTAAAAAAAATGCTCACTGATTGAATACACATTGCAGTTTCTATGGGGAAAAGAGAGTGCCAAGCTTGGGACAAGGGAGACTTCACCTTGTAATAATCATAAAACTGCTTCTAATCATAAATGCTGTTGTTATTCGATTCGTATCTTATCCTGGTTGTGTTATGGACAGCGTATTGACGTCCCTCCGCGACAATTTGGTTGTTCTTCTTCAAGATTCTGAGGGTAATGAGATATCACACGCAGGTTTGTCAAAACAATTCCTATATGTATAAACTTTCTCTTGTTTTTGTCTGCAAAAAGCAGTGAGGCATATTAATATGTATGATCATTTTTGGATCAGGCGTTGAAGTTAAGTCGATAGTCGAGAAGGGTATTTGGGATGACTTGTTTCCCCTCAGTGGAGGCGGGTTTGTGCGTATGAAGTTGCAGTTTGTACTCAACGAAGAAGAGCGTAACAGAATCCGAATGATGGTATTCTCTTGTGTTGCTAGTTTTGACTTTTGGTTTTGAATGGTTAATTTCAGTTTGTACTGAAATTTCATATAGTTGTCGTAAGTTTGCAACTTGCATTTGGTATATAATCTGAATTTTCTTGCAGAGAGAATCTGCACTGAAAAAGAAACAAGGGGAGTTGATCAATAGCAGTCCCAACAGTGTGCAAAGTACTCTGAGTGCTGGGGTGAATGTTGCATCATCCTTCTACCTTCGCGAAGAGATCTCAGGTTCGATCTTAATCGCTTAACAAGAAAATTTAGAAACTTCAGGCATAATGTAACAGGAACGAATAAGGTGACAAGTCCTTAGTTTTCTATGTGGTATTAAAATTTCTCTTTTCGTGAGAGTTATTTTGGATGTTCCGAATGCATGAGAAAATCCTACCCTATATTGAAGTTGAAAAGTTAGAAAACTTTTTGTAGATTGATAATTTTGTTTTCAGATAGTAATTGGAATAAGAAGTGCTTATTATGTTCCATCCACAGCCACTTCTGCGGATAAAACTTCAATAGTATTAAGAGGCTCACAATCGGCTGTTGGCGCAACAAATCATCCTAATCTTCAGGAAGATAGGCCTCGAAACCTCGAGAAGCGGAGTCCGATCAAGAAAACTCCTAGCAGTGTAAAGAAAATGATAAGCGCCTTTGAAAGCGGTTCAGCTGAGGTATGTCTGGCATGTTGCTTTATAAGAGATGATTAAATGCTTTTTCGAGTGGATAGAACTAGTTCTTCCATAATAATGATGCATAATGTTTGCTTCGACTGCAGGATATGAGGCCTCGAATCAAATCACCACCATTACAAGTTCGATCAAATAAGATTAAAACAGGAGCTCTTGTGGAAAGCCAGAACTTAGAAGAACACAAGAATATGATAAGTACAGAAACTGCACAGTCAATATCAAAAGCGGTAGAGGATCCTTTAGGAGACTTGAATCTTGATTTAACATCTGGTGAAAAAAGCGGGCACCAAATTAGTTTACTTGGAGCTTCGGATGCGATTAAATCTTCACATCCCACTGGGATAAAGAATAAATTCAAACAATTAGATGTGGACCAAGTAGCTGACATAAAGAAAGGTAACTTTCCCAAAGATTTCGTTAGACGATCAGCATTTGAAATGGTTCAAGTATCAGAGAAGATTCTTGGTAAGCATAGGCACGAACCTTCTGATATGCCGTGTGGAAAGCGACATTCTGGGCGCATCAAAGGTATAGAGGAGAGTCGAGTACAAGTTTCTTCGACAAATACTCAAATCACCGACGTTCAAGGAGCTTCATCTAGTGCTAATGTATGTACATCAGAAGCAAACTTGGAAGATAGGCACATTCAAGAAGATTCCGGTCCCAATGTATTATGCACATCAGTAGCAAACTGTGAAGATAGGCACATTCCCTTTGAGAGCTCCGGTGCCTGGATTTTTCCAGATGAAGCGATACGCTTTTGTGTAACAACTACTGGTAAAAAAATGATAGATTTGCGAGGCTGTTGCAGAGAGAATCCAAATATCCATCAACGAGAGACAAATTTTTCACTACCAGAAAATGTTGAAGAGGTATGGAATTTTCAGCTGAACTTCTGGTAACTTGTTAGTCATCACATTGCTGAACCATCTTGCTTTTACCTTATGTTTATGTGATCACTTGTAGCATAACGTGGATAAAAAAGAGGAGAATCAAAGAAGAAGATCAAAGGTTGAGAATTCATCAGAGGAGGCTGGAACTTTTGGGGGGCCAGTTGGGCAGGTTATACGTTTTCTCCGCATTATTAGGGCTCGTATGATGACCATTTCATTTTTTTAACTAGATATAAAGAGAAAGTAGACAAAATAATGGATGAATCAAGAATGTAGAGGGAGGAATGAGAAATGCAGATGGAATGACATACAAAATATATAAAAAAAAATAAAAAAATAAAAGAAAACCCCATTTAAATCGTTTTCAATTTTTTATTTTCATATTATACACTATTATTTACATGTGCATTTCTTTTGCATCTTTTCCGCCACCTTCCTCCATTCTTATTAATATCTCCCTTTTTTGTTCATGGCGTTTCTGACCAAAACGTGAAAACTTGAATATAAAAACGAAATGGTTATTAAACCAATTCTAAAAAGTATGGAGCTTCATATCTAATTTCTTTGTTTCTTGTGCTCCAATTTCTCTTGCCAGGCAATAAAAGTTGCAATTATGATTGGCTTTGGCACACTTGTTCTCCTTACAAGACAAAGAAAAAACAGTTAAACAGAGAAGACAATATATGATCATGCAGGATGAGTATTTATTTTAATTTCCAGTCCCTGCCATTTCTGTAAAACTATGGCAAAAGTTTCTCTGTGAATAGTGTATAGCAAGTAAATGGGGTTTATAAGGATAGTATTATTCATATACCTATGTTTACTTATAAACAGTTTTTTAATTTTTTGTCTTTGATATTCTTCAATTTATTCAATTTGATGGCCGAAACTTGAGAGAATTGTGGAAGAAATATAAATGGGTGTGTGGAAAACACTACCATTTTATAATTCCCCTATGTTTTAGATTATCGAAATTTAAAGATTATGTAGGGAGTTGTAAATGTGTACGTACATTGATTTGAACGACCACTTTATGTACTCAATGAGGTGATCAATAGTATTATAGCAGTGTATATGTATCAACAAGAGCATCTCTACCAACCTAGAAAAATAACCTTTTTTGGCTACTTTAACAAAAAAATGCAAAAAAAAATTAAGCTCTAACAGGCTATTTAAACGACTATCTTAACTTTGAGAAGAGTAATTTGCTAGATTTATTAGGAGGAGAGAGAGAGAACTAAATTTTTATTAAACATTAAAAACTATAAAAGTGCATTATTTATGGGTTTCAAGAGAATAAAAAAGGGTTTGGTTGTTAAGTTTGGAAAAAATCATATTAAAAATATTTTAGCTTAACCTAAATTAAAAAGGGCTTGGTTTTTAAGAAGCTTAACCTAAAATAAATAGTATTTGTTAAAAGTTGTGACTAGCCAAATCAACAAAAATTTAACTAGTATTGTTGGAGATGCTCTTAAAGTAATAACATTATTTGTAATAAAATAAAAAATAAAATAACCATGAAAAATTATGACAAACAAACCATACAAGTGTATATAATATAGAACATGGCTGATTTTGGGACTCTTACGGTTTCCAATACTCATCTCTATATATAATGGAGATGCAAATTACCAAAACGAGTGCGTACCAAGACCTGGCAAACGAGACGCATTTGTCGTGTTCGTATTATATGTTATCTTAACATATCGTGTCAAACTCGTTATCTTAACAGGTTATTAACAGAATAGCCAACGACAACCTAATTCGTTAACGAATCGTATCATTTGAGTAGGGTTAATGGGTCATACAAGAAATATACATGTCTAATGTATAGTTCTGATTAAAACTTTTACGTTTGTCCAAATTTAAAGTATATTTTACTTATCCAAATATACTATCAAATGTCGAAATTTTTAGGGTTACGATTGGAAATCCAACACAAGCCCCATTGGACTACAGTATCATAAAATTATTTTTGGGCTAAAAAAATAGCATATTATGAGCATAAAGGCTGAGCCCAATAAGCTAAAACCCTAGCCCCACCAAAACCCTCTTCAGTTTTGCTTTCTCTTCTCCTTCCTTCCCTCATTAGACGCTCTGTGTTCCTGCCTTCCTTCATCAGAGTCTCCGTGTTCCTGCAAAATCTGAAGAATTAGAAATGGTCAGAAGCATCAAGAACCCTAAGAAAGCCAAAAGAAAGGCCAAGGTCAGCTCCTAAATCCACTTCCTTCTCCTCTTATTGTTTAATTATTTCAGTAAAATTAGGTTTTATCCTTTCCCCAATTGATTTGATTGAATCGAATTTTTGTTTAGGGCTCAAAGAAAGGAGATGGGTCTTCTTCCTCTTCGGGACCGTCGATGCCGGCGAAGGTATGGCAACCGGGAGTGGACAAGTTGGAGGAGGGCGAAGAGCTCCAGTGTGACCCATCAGCTTACAATTCTCTCCATGCCTTCCATATTGGTTGGCCTTGTTTAAGGTTGCTCTGAATCTTATGGATTCTTCTTTTTGGTTGCATAGAAAGTGCAGGAAAAGCATAAAGTTGAAATTTTGAATTGTGGGTTTGAATTATTGGAGTTTGATTAGCTGAATTGAACTAAAGCTTAGACTTATAGCGTTTGTGAATAATTAGCTTCTCTTTTTTTTTTCGTTTCGGGAAAGCTCACGTCTACTCGTAATATTGAGTTATGTTTTAGAGGTTCAATTTTATACTTAATTTGCTGGTAATGGTTATATTTAAGAATTCAAGTTTCATTCTTTCTAAGAGAATTATAGGTTTCGAGTAAATGGCTAAAAGAAGTTAATTACTTTTGACAGCTTTGATATTGTACGGGATACGTTGGGGTTGGTTCGGACAGAGTTCCCCCATAGTGTGTATTTCGTTGCTGGGACTCAGGCAGAGAAAGCTGCTTGGAACTCTCTTGGAATATTTAAAGTATCTAACATTTCTGGGAAAAAGCGCGAGCCAGTGCCAGCCAAAGCTGCAGATGATGACTCTAATATGGATAGTGAGGACAGTGATAGTGACGATGATAGCGAGGATGAGGAGTCAAGTGGATCTGGCGCACCTGTTTTGCAGGCAATATTTTTATTTTTACATTCCACGCTTGATTTATCTTGCCTTTATCTTTCTTAATTTTGACCTCATCTCTGTGCCTTGACATTTTTTCTTCTTCTCATATACAGTTGCGCAAGGTAGCTCATGAAGGATGTGTGAATCGTATACGCGCCATGACACAAAATCCACATATATTTGCATCTTGGGCAGACACTGGTCATGTGCAGGTCTGACTTTATGTCAAGATTATGAGTATGAGTATATATTAAACCGATGCTCGAAAGACCATTTACATATGCTTTGTACGTGACTTAATCCTGCTGCTCTTTCAGGTTTGGGACTTCAGTTCTCATTTAAATGCCTTAGCCGAGTCAGAGACCGAAGCTAGCCAGGGAGCTTCTTCAGTATTTAACCAGGCTCCATTGGTTAAATTTGGGCATAAGGATGAAGGGTTTGCTCTAGACTGGAGTCCCCTTGTACCTGGAAGGCTTCTATCTGGTACTATTATCAAGTCACTTTATTTGTTTTTTCTTTTTCTATATCAAGTGTAAGTGATGGCATAGTACTTTCTTGATTTGAAAGCTTGAAACTAATGATTCATTTATGTCTGATTTTAAAAGGGGACTGCAAGAATTGTATACATTTGTGGGAACCTACATCTGGTTCAACATGGAATGTTGATACTACCCCATATATTGGACATATTGCAAGTGTGGAGGATTTACAAGTATGTAGCTTGGAGGGGAAGCTAAATCTGTTGTTTTAAAGCATATAATCAATCTAACAATCTAGTTAGAATAGTTTTCCTTAATCTTTCCAATCCTTTGACGGTATTCTTTTTAAAAAACTTTTATCTTTGCAGTGGAGTCCTACGGAACCTGATGTCTTTGCCTCTTGTTCTGTCGATGGGAATATAGCAATATGGGATATACGCATGGGGAAGGCACCAGCAACTTCTTTTAAGGCGCATAATGCTGATGTGAATGTTATGTCTTGGAATAGGTGTTTATTCAAACCTTCAATGTTTATTTTCTTATTTGTTATTTGTTTTGATACATTTGTGCCACATATGAAATGATGACCTTGGCACTTCATTGTTTCTTATCAGGCTGGCTAGTTGTATGCTGGCATCTGGAAGTGATGATGGCACCTTTTCCATTCGTGATCTTAGATTGCTGAAGGTACGTCTTGTTGGAATTCCCATGACTGCTAAATTGGGTTCAATGAAATTGTTTTGAGTGATTCTTTAAGTTGATAATTCTAAAATGATATGGTCCTCTTTCGTCTATTTGAACGTAGGAAGGAGATTCTGTAGTGGCACATTTTGAATACCATAAACACCCTATCACCTCCATCGAGTGGAGTCCACATGAAGCATCCACTTTGGCTGTGACATCTTCTGACAATCAGCTGACGTAAGTAATATTTACAGACCAGATTGAAGTGATAAATGGCATGTCGTGCACAAAAATTTATATGCTTTCATGCTGTTTATGTTTGAACTCAAAATATTTGTCATTTGGCTTTTGTTACCAGAATATGGGATCTTTCTTTAGAAAATGATGAGGAGGAAGAGGCAGAATTCAAAGCGAAGACAAAAGAGGAAGTGAATGCTCCAAAAGATTTACCTCCACAGCTTTTATTTGTTCATCAGGTAAACATATTCGACTGTCTGTTCTACTCCAAGAGGCCCCACTTTTTCGGTCATTTAACTCATGGTAATTTATGGTCAACAGGGACAAAAGGACTTGAAAGAACTTCATTGGCACACACAGATTCCTGGCATGCTCGTTTCAACTGCGGCAGATGGTTATAATATTCTGATGCCTTCAAACATACAGACTACCCTTCCCTCTGAACTCTGATGGTGCTTGAAAGTCCAAGTTTAACAGTTTGTTTCGTATGCCGGAGAGTAGATATATATCAGATCATATTCCAATGGCGGATGGCTTATGTGTTGAAGCAATTACAAGTTTGAAGAGACATTGTTTTCGCTTGTTTTTGTTTTGTTTTTTCCTTCCCCGTTTTGGGGTCTGGTATGGTGTTTCGAGTAACCTCTACAATTTTGGATGTCCTTTTCAATATTTTATCAGATGAGTTAAGTTTCTAAAGTGCATAATGCTAATGCATCTCTTTCATACAGAATTTTATCCGTATTTATTTCACAGCAATCGCCAGTGTTTGAGTTTACCATAGCCGATTTACGGACATAAAGGGCATCATTGGTTCGACTTCGAACAAAATTGATGGGTGAATAATGAGCATAAACAGGAACATAAGATGGCTGTTAAGTTCTAAAAATTAACTAAGAATACTGAGATTCACAAAAAGTTAAGATACAAGGGGTACAATATAGCGATTCTTCACGGGGCCGATAAAAATGGTTTCCAATGACGAACTGGCCGGCATATCTCGTTTTCATACTGTATTTTTCATCACCTGATTACTTGTGTCGATATTCTCTATGAATTGACAGGCTTTCCATTTAATTTAGGGAAAGGATCTTGCTTGCTCAAAACCACAACTTTGCTCTTGTGAGCAAAGTATCCCTTTACAAGATTTTTGTATATTAATATGGCTACTATGCATTCCACCTGCAAATTACACCAGATATTTGATTAGAGAGAAACGGAGAAACCAAGAACCACTCTACCAGAGATAGAGAGGTGGAGAAAACAAGTACCTCATCGACATCCATGGCTATCTCAAGCCATTTCAAAGCTTTAACAATTACTTCTAATTTCAGCTGGTGAGCTTTAACCGGGTCCCTTTGCTTTTGGATGAAGTAACTGCACAACGAGATTGGGGAAGTCGTGAATTGAATCTTCAGAGGAATTTTACCATCAATTTTATAAAGCGGCATGAGAGCTTACATTTTCTTTATCAATCTCTGGTAGACTTGGAGTTCTAGCTTCTCTAGGACAAGATATACACCTGATCTTAAGAACCTGTTTCATTTTGAAGGAATCAGTTCCATCTTTGGAAATCGATTTTAACCAATCTCAAGATTTTCAAAATGCATGATACACGTACCGATCTTCATGCTCTTCAAGAGCACGCCGAAGAAGTCGAAGATCACCTCTTTTTAGAGCTTGTACAACATTCCTATACTGCAAAAGCAAGAAGTTATAAGTTAGGGTTTAGCCACAACTTTGGAAAACGGGAGAGGGGGAAGTAACATAGCTAAGCAATACCGGAATATCTCATTTCCCATCATCAAGCTTTAAATAATAACTCTTGCAAATAAAATAAATAAGGGACTGCCATACCTCAACCAGGTTATACTTTTCCAGAAGCCAATCACTTGGTAAGATGCCTAATGAAAGCTTCACAGGTATCAAATACTTCAATATCATCCTATGTAAATACAAAAAGAGAAACAATGAGTCGGACAATAAAAGACAGTACAACATATCACAAATCTAACATTTGACTTCCTATCGCAAGAAGTTAAACATCACACTTCAATCTGAAGAATATGTAGGCACAACAACAATCCCACCACCCCCACCCCCCCCCTGGGGGGCCCGGCGGTAAAGTCTATCATGCAGATGAAACCTTACCTTATATTTGCTTCACGCTGAGGATTGCAATGCTCCAAGGCATATGATAATTTCTGATCAGCCTGCAATGTAACAAAAGTAGATTTAGTGAATAGCACACACCTGATGGAAACTCAGATTTCAGTTCTGGAGCTTTTTGCAGGCATGGAAATAAGTGTATTCAGGCAAAGTACAAGATCAATCATCACTGAGATCAAATCTATAATTTGAGCACATATCTGCTGAGACTGGATGTTAACAGTGGTAACCAATTTCTTTACTTAAAAATATGGTAAGGCATAAGTATGGAACTGCTCACTTCTTCATCCAGTGTCTCTAAATTTTAGATTCAAGACTCCAGAGGGTAATGCCCGAACCAAAACCAAACAACCACTTAAATAGCTTAATATACAAGAAGGCGTCAGAACATCATGAAAATTAGAATACGTACAGCAGGGAAATTTTCGTTGAAAACTTCCAGACGACCTGTATAATACATATAGGTGACCTGCACATCACGGTACAACAGTAAGAACAAACATAAAAACTAGCTGCGATAGAGAACAAATTCAAAAGGAGAGGGAGCAGAAAAGGAAAGAAAAAAAAATTGCATTTGCTCTACCAAAGGCAATTCTGACCTTATCTCTCTTAGGGAATTCCTCAAAATCAAATATTCGCGCAGTTTCAATGCTCCTTATGACGCTGCGGCAAAGGTGAACTGTACCAAGCTGCAAAGTAATAATGATGATCATCATAGTGCAGGTCTAGCTATTTGTGCTTTATTCAGCATTCAAAAGATACCCCAATAGCTAATTCAGATATTAAAAGCACTGCCGAACTCATAAGTGTGCGAAAAAATTACCTTAAAGTAAACTTTAAACAACTGGCAAGTGACGTATAATGCTCCAACACGTTTCGGGCCTTTTCCCTATAATGGATACACCAGTGAAAGAGTTAGCAGTACAGATTCAAACAATTGTTCGTAAACACCCAAGAAAATATTAACTCTTATTGTATAGAAGTTTGAGTAAAGGAACGGACTTTTCTTGCAAAGAGAACAAAATACAAACCAAAGTTTAGTAAGGGTAGCGAAATAAATAGAATATCAAAAGAGAGAATCTTACAGCAAGAACGCCAAAGACTTTCATAAGGAAAGAGCCAGCTCCCTTCAACTTCTCTGGAGACTTTCCATTTGAAGCCAATTCCTTATCAGCCTATAAAAGTTCCACACAGGCCAGTCCTACTAAATTCGTCTTCCCAACATATCGGCAACCAATTATGAAATAAAGCACGTATCTTGACAGAACACTAATAAAGTACAAATTAATTTTCTTTTCATTAAATAAAAAAGGAAACTGGGGGTCTTACCCTCTCAGCTAGAACCCTAATCTCATAAGCAATGACATACAATGCTGGCAAAGCCCAGGCCGTATCCCAATTCCGAAACTCCTGAATAAAAGCACTGCACATCCATCGTTAACCTTAGTCCAAAACCAAAACCAAAACCAAATGCAAAATTTCACACAGAACAGAATTAAATAAAACAAAAAATCAATAAAAAAAAAGATCAATACTTTGCAGATTTTTCATATGCCTGATAGGAATCAATGAAAGTCCCAATTCGGTAACTCTGAAAAGCCCGGAAGAGATGCACCAGAATTTCGCCAAACTGCGAGTCGTTATCGGACTGTTTGATCAATCTATTGAAGTCCTGTCACACACCAAGAACCCTCACCAATCAAAACCCTAAATTCCCAAATTGAAACAAATACAAATACGTATACAAATATACACACCGGTGATAATGTATTACCTGGAAGACGTTGAGGGCGTCGGCGAGGGAGAGGAGGGCGGGGCTGTTGGAGGAGAGAGAGAGGAGATGCTTGAGGGAAGCTCCGTCCTGGGTCGAAACGGCATCGGAGAAGCGGTTGAGGTAATCGGTAATTCTTCTGTGAGCTTCTCCCATGCTCAAGTACGCCATCTCTCTGTCTGCTCGATCTAACACTCTCAGTATCTGCAAGCACAACCTTACTTTGTTTTCTGAAGGGTTCAATGACGTCGTTTTGCTCCACCATTGTTCTTGTTTTTCTTGAATCGTCTTACTTTCTTATCTATTTTAGAATTATTATTTTTTAAATGTCATATATGATTTTAAACATACTTTTAATTTATTATTAATTATATTTTTAGCAAATTCACTTTAATAATTTTTTTTTAAGGTTAATCCAGACATGTATTTTTCAAATTAGTTGAAAATTTAGACCGTATCTTGTACTTCTACTACTTTAAAATTGTAGTGAACTATAAGCAACCTTCTCTCATTACCAAGGAAGAAAATATCGGTAATATCGGAAATATCGATAGTCCGAAAACACAGAAATATCGATGGAAATATCGGGATAATATCGATATCGATAAAAATTACATGGAAACCACGGAAATTGTAAGAAAAACTTGGAAATTTTTATTGAAACTTTGCAGGATGTTTATTTAGTCAATTATCTATTAGTTTATCACAAAAAATTGGAAGGAAATGCATTGCATGATGGATTTAACTGATTTAAGTTGATTATATAGCGAGCTGGCAAACATTGTGAATGTAGAAAATATGTAGTAATTAATGAAAGAAGTTTAAACACACCATAATCATTTATATATAATGAATTAGTACAATATTTTACACGTTATACATTGCATGGTAAGATACATGAGTGACTTAGTACCACATAGAGTTCCTATGAGGTTCAAAAATTTTCACTATCTTCATCATCTCTATTTGTAGAGTAAGTGTATTGTGAAGAGTAGTCAGCAACCATGGCAATGGTTTTCAAGAACCAAAACCCAAAAGTCAATAGGAAACCGAATACTTCGGTATTTTTCGGGATTACCAAACAAATGGGATTTGGAAACCAATCCCATATCGAAAATTTCGGTATTTTTCGGGATGGGATTCCCGAACTTCAGGATGGTTTTGGTTTGGGATTTTTCGGTTTGGGTTTGGGACTTTTTCGGTTTGGTTTGGGATTTTCAGGAATTTTTTCCAGCCCTACCATGTAAGTGACCAAATAAAAAATAGAAAAATTAAAAACCACATGCCATTGACTAAGTAATTAATTGACACAATTTAAAATATAATACCACAAAAAATTTGGAATATGTGCAAATTTGTTTCTTGTAAAAAGAATTCAAAACAAACAATATATATAAATATAGTAGCATATTATCACAACAACATAAGTGATATGGTGGTTAAGGCGTTAAGAGTCAAATGGGAGGGGGTTCGAATCCCTTTAGTCTCAAAATTGAGACTTTTTAGAAAATTTTAAGAATTTTTGGATGTCATATCGCGATATTATAACTCAAAAAAACGAAAATATTTCGCCGATATTTTTGATATTTAAATCCTTGCTCATTACTTAGTGCGCATAATCAGTTAATATTTTTTATATGGTAAAACAAACATAAAACTTAATACAACGACTTACAAAATTCTGATCGAGTTTCTCTTTAACATTATAGTCCTCATGACATATAACACATGTTCCTGAAATATAATTGTCTTCTAAGACAATGATAAATATCAAACTTGACTTTGATTTTATTAATTATATTCTCACAAGCAATGAAATGAAAAAAAAAGTCTAAAATCTAAAATAACCATGAACACAATATACGGTGACTTAATTATGGATAGGACAGGTTTTCTTAAAATTTTAGTTCATAAGACAAAATTGAAATAGATGTATAAATTCATTATTCATATGTTCTGATCCTAAAAACTACCAAGCCTACGTGGCGCTCAGGCCGAGTAATCTATAAGCTAACTACGTCATTTGGTGAATGCGGGGCGTGCCAACTCGTCGGCCGAGCTCGGCCGATGAGTAAATTTGTTGATGTTGCGTTAGGTGCGCGACTGACTTCTGCGTCTTGCGATTGGGGCTGAGGAAGGAACACGTCTCGGCCTCTTTGGTCCTCGAACCTGAAGACAAGGCTACTATTTTTACGAAGTTCACGAATCGTCGTCGTCGAATTCGGTCACAGTGATGGTATTCGTCAGAGTAAACTCACGCCGAATCGACACCAAAGTGTAAGGGCACAAATACTCAAAGCAGATATAAGTCTTAATAGTAAACGGTGTTCGACCGTCTGAATGCCGAACTTTAAATCCTACTTGAAAGTATCCAATCATAAAATAACTTGGCGTGCAATGCGCTGAGCTCAGTAAGCTATAACACTTCACTTCGCCGAGAAGGTTAATGAGATGACCTCAATCAATAAGGATTTGGAAACCCTTCTCGACCGAGACTTGGATAGGTAACCAACCGTCATTGCCGCAGTGCTGTTGATGCCAACGAAAGATGTTGCAAGATCGGCTGATTCTACGGCGACAGAGTTATCTATGCCGACTGAAGATATCACCGGTTGCTTTCACAGTGCTGTTGATGCCAACGGAAGATGTGTCAGCGAAAAGAGAAAATAAAAATCTCAAGTTGTTGAGAGAGTTTGCGCAAGGCAGTTGTGTGTTGAATTGGAGGGGCCTCTTTTCCGTTACCATTGCATCTGTATTTATAAGACTGAAGTACTTGGCTTGCATGGTCATGTAATGTTGCAGAGTCTGACTGCAACTCTTCCTCGCAGAATGAAATCTGATCCGTGGCATAGGTTGGCTGACTTTTCAAACAAAATATAAAAACTATTTAGGCTTATCCCATCATGACCAAAGACCTAGCTTACCTATGCTTCTCTCTCCACCATCAAATCCTAGGCTTATCACATCACTACCAAAAGTCAAACCTACCTAGGCTTCTCTATCTGTGCATGCATTAGTCCATTTGCAGTTGTATGACTATCATCTGCATGCTTCACTATCTGATGTCACGCATATCCCAATTTAATTTGAACTGTACCACTTTAGAGATATAATTTGCATATGTCAAGATAATTAAAAGATAATTATTATGATAAGAACCATAATATTATCTTTTAACAACAACAAAATTATCTTCACTTTTCCATCCAACGGTTGAGAGCTATGCTCACTCAACGGCCTTGATTGCACAGGCCGATGGTGTAAATTTGGGCCCAAACAATATAATAAACAACAACTAAGCCTTATCACATTAAATAAGATCGGGTGTATGAATCCTAATGCAATTGTGCTCATTTTTACGCCCAAACAATTGGATTCAAGCATTATCTTTTCATTTTTTTAATGAGAAGATTGTCCTTTTTAATACATGTTATTGAAAAATAAGCATGAAATGAAAGAAGTAAATATTAAATACAAAAAGTTGTACACATACGTATTTTTACCGTTTAGAATTTGAGTAAATTGTACAAATGGTCCCTCAACTTTAATCAAATTGGAGCAATGGTCCCTTAACTAAAAATTCATTACCTTTGGTCCCTCAACTTATCAAAACGTGCAACTATGATCCCTCAACTAAAAATCCATTACCATTGGTCCCTGAACTTTAATTCAAGTGGAGAAATGGTCATTTAACTTTAACCCAATTGTAGCAATGGTCATTCCAATATAACTCGTTTTGACAAATTTTTTGACATAGTTGACAAAAAGAACCATAATTATACACTTTGATGAGTTAATGTACCTAATTATATAAATGGTAATTCCAACATAGCTTATTTTGACAAAATTGATGAAAATGACTATAGCTACACATTTTGATAAGTTGAGGGACCAATGGTAATGGATTTTTAGTTGAGGTACCATTGCTCCAATTTGATTAAAATTGAGGGACCATTTGTATAATTTACTCTTTAGAATTTAGATGCGCCAAATCTAACACCAAAGTCGGTGCCGTAGACTCGTAGAAACCTTCCTTCCAGCTCAAATCACGTCAACCAAAAAATCTTTAAAAAGCGGTCTTCTCCAAAAGCTCTACCAAGCCACTGTCTGCAACTCCACCCAAAGACCCAACCTTTAATCCCTTCTGCTCACTCCAACCCCACACTTTCTCTCTCTCTAAACACCTCACCCCTAAACCCCACATCCTTCAATCTCCGACCCATCGAAAAACGAACCAGAAACAATCACCTGGTTTCTTCTGATGGGTTCGGATTTGACTCCCGTGAAATCCACTCCGATTCCGACCCACGACGAAGACTCGCGGTCGCGGAGCCCATCTGCGGCGCTGCTCTCTTTCAACACCGACCCCTCCGCCTCTCCGACCCCATCGTCTTCCCCTTCTCACAAACCCAGCACCACCGTCATCTTCATCTCTCTCCTCCTCACCACCTGCGTTGCTCTCTCCGCCGCCTTCGCCTTCGCCTTTCTATTCTTCTCCAACTCACCGAAATCCGCGCCCGTCTACGAGTCCTCGTCACTGGAATACAAGGCTCGAGCTTTGAGAAAACTCGATCATCCGGTTGTTCTGTTGGTTTCCTCGGATGGGTTTCGATTCGGGTACCAGTTCAAGGCGCCGACGCCGAATATCCGCCGCCTCATCGCCAACGGGACGGAGGCGGAAGAGGGTTTGATTCCGGTGTTTCCAACTCTGACATTTCCTAACCATTACTCAATTGTCACAGGTCTTTACCCTGCTTACCATGGAATTGTCGACAACCACTTTGTGGACCCGCACACAGGGGAGTCCTTCACCATGAGAAGCCACGAGTCCAAGTGGTGGCTCGGCGAGCCGCTGTGGGAGACGGTGGCGAATCATGGTTTGAAGGCTGCCACTTACTTCTGGCCGGGTTCTGAGGTAATTAAAGGTTCTTGGACTTGCCCTGATAAGCTTTGTATGCAGTATAATGGCTCTGTTCCTTTCGAACAACGGGTTGATGCCGTTTTGAATTACTTTGATATGCCTAGTAGTGAAATTCCTGTGTTTATGACTCTGTACTTCGAGGATCCCGATCATCAGGGTCACCAGGTCGGGCCTGACGATCGGGAGATTACTGAAGCTGTTGCTGGAATTGATAAAATGATTGGGAGGTTGATTGAAGGTTTAGAGAAAAAAGGTGTTTTCGAGGATGTTACTATAATTTTGGTGGGGTGATCATGGGATGGTTGGTACATGCGATAAAAAGCTAATTTATTTAAGTGATTTGGCCCCTTGGATTGAAATTCCTAATGATTGGGTCCAGTCACTTACTCCATTGCTCGCCATTCGTCCACCTTCAGGTGTTGATCCTGTGAGTGTTGTTGAGAAGATGAATGAAGGGTTGAAATCGGGCAAGGTTGAGAATGGGAAGAATTTGAGAGTGTATCTTAAGGAGGAGCTTCCTAGTCGGCTCCATTATGCAGCGAGTGATCGAATTACGCCTATAGTAGGGTTGGTTGAAGAGGGATTTAAGGTAGAACAAAAGAGGACGAAAGGGAGAGAGTGTGGAGGTGCACACGGTTATGACAATGCTTTTTTCTCCATGCGGACCATATTTGTTGGGCATGGTCCTCGGTTTGAAAGAGGTCGCAAGGTTCCTAGTTTTGAAAATGTCCACATATACAATTTGGTCACAACGATTCTCAATATTCAGGGTGCTCCTAACAATGGATCTGCGTCATTTCCAAAGTCTGTTCTTTTGCCTGCTCCGTGATGACCACGCAAAGTGTATCCCCGTGGAGTCAGCTTAGTGAAGTTTGAGTGGTGGTTGGAGAGATTTCGCTATTATGATCCAGCATTGCAGAAGGGTAGCAGTATTAGTTATTTCATGATCCGGGAGCTCACTCGTAGCGACATCTTAGTCTCCCTGTCAACGTCGTTCTTCTGTCTATTCATTACATGTAATAAATAAAAGCTGTACCATGAAAAGGATCCGCCTTTTAAATGTTGAGTTGTAGATTTGTAGTTCCGTAAAGAGACATCATTCGCTAGGTGATAGTATCAGTGTATTGCGAGATACTTCAACCTTTATGTCCTTGAATGGATATGCATACTACGAGTTCATCAATAAAATGTAATAGTATTATTTTTACTATTTCTTAGTTTAAAATTTGTAAGTATCAAATTTCTCTTCACTTGTAAATTATATTCTTTGAAAAGCAAATACATATCAATTGGACGGAGTTGGATCCTCTCCTGAGCACAAGCTTAGGATCCTCTGATTAGCCTACGTGCGACTACAAACAAGAAATCCTTCTAAAAATTATAATAATTGTAGCCGTTGAATTAAAATTCAATAGCTTACGTGGGCTGATCATGAGGATCCTGACAGCTCAGGAGAGGATCCAATTCCCAATTAGACAACAAGGGACACAACGAGTGGGTGAGGGAGAGAGAAGCAGTTTCACCACGTTTCGTGTTGAAAACTATGCTTTGAGAAACATATATGTATTATTTATTACTAGTGGGACCCATGATAATAGAATATAAAAAAAATAATGCAAAGGCACACAAGTGGTCTGTAGGAGTAATGCTAGAAATACTAAATTTGCAAATTAAATGATGTGTCACCAATAAAAATAAGTACGTGTATGAACGCCTAAGTAATAAACCAATCATCAATTTACATGTCCTTTAGTTTTCAAATTTTAGTTTTCAAATTTAGTCTTCCTAACATTACTCATGTAGATGTATGTTTGAAATTGGATAAAAAGGATTGTCTTTTATTGATAAAAATGAGTTTTTATAAATTATAATATAAAAAGGCAAGTTGGAAAATAGGAAGAGAGAATGCATCCCAGAATGAGAGGGGCGATCTCGTAGTTCTTAGTTTGTGAAGATACATTGTTAGGTGCTCCGTTTTATTTTTCCATTAATGCCGAACCTAAACATGTGCTCGAGAGATAGCTGTCCATATACTTTAGTATAAGGGATGTATGGATTCTCAAGAAGAGGAGCCTAACTATAAGTATATATAGAATACTATAAATTATAAATAAAGTAATAATAAGAACGTTGTTTTTTATAACTTCATTCACAAAATGAAGCTCTATTTTGATAGAGATAGGTTGTGTGGATGTGATTTTACCACTTGTATAAGTTAGTTAGTTAGTTAGTTAAGGTGATAGAAGTAGTGAACAGTATAAATACTGATGAGTGTACTTACGTAGTTGTTAAGAAAAAAAAATATACTGAAGCTTTCCATTCTCTACTTCTCTCTCTATAATCTCTCAAGTCTCTTCTCTATCTCTCACTACATTTCTGTAGGTTAACATATTTGAATCTCTAATCATTTTGGAATAAAATTGGAAAAAAAGTTTAATTGTTTTTTATTGTATTAATTGCGTAATGTGTAGTTAGTTATTAATGTATATAATATCAACGTGTGCGAAAAGACAACAGGAGTTCAAAACATCGAAAAAATAATTTACCCTTCGTTGTCGCTTTCTAAATGGTCGATTTTTTTTCAGAATTTTTGGCAAAATTAGGAAGACGAGGATATTATTCTTTGGAATTTAGTTTTTTATTATTAGAAAAAGAAAAATATGTTGAAAATATCAGCATTGTTGACAACATTGGCCGATAATTGAATGCCCACAAATGGATTTTCAACATTACAGACTAATGAAAATATTGGCAGCAGACTTTGGAATTGTAGGAATCACATTTTCAAAGTATATGTTGTAAATTTTGAATGTACAATTAATGGGTTTGATTGGAGCTGCTCTATAAATAGAGCGCTCCGTATGCCTGCAATAACATACAGAGAGAATACATCAGAAAGAAGGAAAGTTCAATAAGATCATATATTCCTCCCTCTTTAATTTGCCATCCCCTTGTGTTTTAATTACCGTGTGATATTTTACCTCTGCTTCGTTTCACTCAATATAAAGGTTATCTCTCTAACTTTGATATATTTATAACAAAATAATAAGTTGCAACTAGACATTTATTCCTATCAATTTGGTGAACTTGACTAATGATGTGGTGCGTAACTCCCGAAAAACAAAAAACAAAAATCTTTTTCCCATAATGGTCCCATTATGCCCATATTTTCCAAGAGCTAAAACTCGGCACATCCCACATCGTTTAGAAAAGTGGATCTTGTAAGCCTTATATGTATATTCTCATATCTACCTAGCACAATGCCTTTTGGAAGCTTATTGGCTTCGTGTTTCATCGGAACTCCAAAGTTAAGCGAGTTCGCAGGAGAGCAATCCTATGATGGGTGACCCACTGGAAAGTTCTCGTGTGAGTTTCTAGAAACAAAACCTTGAAAGTGTGGTTGGGGCCCAAAGCGGGCAATATCGTGCTACGGCGGAGTCGAGCCGGGATGTGTTGGGGGCCCAGGCTGGGATGTGACAATTTGGTATCAGAGCCAATCTCTGGTCGGAAATGTGCTGACGAGGACGTCAGGCCCCTAAGGGAGGTGGATTGTAACATCCCACATCGCCCAGGGGAGTGGATCATGTAAGCCTCATATGTATATTCCCATCTCTACCTAGCACGAGGCATTTTGAAAGCTCACTGGCTTTGGGTTCCATCAAAACTCCAAAGTTAAGCGAGTTCGCGCGAAAGTAATCCCATGATGGGTGACCCACTAGAAAGTTCTCGTCTGAGTTTCCAGAAACAAAACCGTTAGGATGTGGTTGGGACCTAAAACAGACAATATCGTGCTACGATAAAATCAAGCTCGAGATATGGTGGGGGCTCGGCCGGATGTGACAGCAACGACTTTCATGGGCCTCAAGTTGTTTTGCGTCCACCTTTCTCTTGCGGGCCCCATCACCATCAATGAAGTCATACATGTTACCACGTATGGCTTGAGTGAAACTTAATAATTTTACTGGTGGTTTCTATTTACAAGTCACCCACTCGACTGATGAAGGTTGCTTCAACAGTAAAATGACTAAATCGGAATTTTCTTAAAAAATGGAAGCCTTTGCCCCAAATATAGAGGACTTATCACGTATATCGAAGCGCTAATCGCAGTTAAAGATCACGATCGAGACACGTAATTAGTGGTTACTAGTATTGGAAAATAACCAGACCAACAAACAAGATGTTTTACACTCTAGGAAACAAAAAATAGCATTTTAGTGGGCTGCCATGGTATAAATATACATGATAATTTATGGCTCGAGCCTCCACGTCTATATATTTTTTAGGGAAAATTAATGAAAAATGTTTAATAATTTTGAGTTTTAACGATAAAGACAAAATAAAGGATAAAATAAATAGTACTAGGGTTGACTTTTTAGTGTAAAAATGTGATTTTTCGTTAAAATGAACAATAACAAGAATTTTTCGTTAAAATTCCTTATTTTTTACGAGCTCAACACCATTAATAAAGGCATACATGTTACCACGTCTAAATAATTTTACGGGTGGTTTCTATTTATAACTCACCTATTCGAAATGGTGAAGGCTAAATCATCACGTTTTGTTCTGAAAAATGTGTTTTGCAAAACAAATACGCATTATTACATCAGTGGGCCCCATGATAATAGAAACAAAAATAATAACGAAAAGGCACACAAGTGGTTCCAACTTCCATGTGTCCATATACGTTAGAAATTCGATAAAAATAATTTTCTTTTATCGATAAAAATAAGTTTTTATCTAGAGATATTTGAGTTTCGGTCCTTTGGTTGATAACTTCTTAGACTAAACCCTTATTCATTTAATTTTTTTTTATTCAAGTCCTTCAGCTTTCCACCGTGGCAATTCATTGTACAAAATACTTGAATGCACATTAAATAGGCTTGCTATTAGCATCTAAATCCATAATCCCGAAATCTATTCCATATATATCCACATATCACGCAGCTAAACATATAAAATGAAGCTTGATTTTCAAATTTGAACTTCTAACCTAATTAATCGACCGTGTTGGGTGCAAACCTCTGAATTGATATCCAATTTTCTTTATATATCTATTTGAAATGGCTATGATAAAAAAAGAATTTCAAATTTTTTTTATTAAATAAATGGATAAAAACAATGTAACAATATGAATAATAAATGGCAAAAGAATGCATTCATAGCCTTAAAAAATTGTATATAAGCTATGTAGTAATGTATCCAAAAATGCACATGGATACATTATTTTGATTTAAATTTTATTCGACCAAATCTTATAGTATAATCTTATTAAATTTGAATAGTTTTATTGAAAGAAAAATATTAAATTTTAGTATCTATATATATAAAGGGAGAAACCCAAATAGGTGAAGCTTTCAATATTCCAATTATGTTTTCATTTCAAAAAAAAAAAAAAAAAAAACAACATAAAACCATTCATATATAGAAGGACTATAATTGTAATACACAAATAAAATAGGGTTAAAATTGTAATACAATAACATGAAAGGTGCTCAGACTTTTAGATTGATTCTAACCCCGTTGATTGCTCATCTCTATACCTAGTGAACTCTCCACGAGCAGTTATAGCGGTTGCAAAGTTGCACGATTAAAACCGTACTGTTCTGGAGAAACCAACTCAACCTCCCATACCCTCTCATATAGTCTTTTTTGGTGGTGTTTTCATCCCTCTTACCGTTTTGGTGCTTCTTCATCTGTGCTTCTTCTTTCATTTGGTGCTTTTTCAACATTGAAATTTTCTAATCCTATTCATTTTGTTCAATTGTTGTTGAATTTCGATTTGGGTTTTGCAGTTCGGATTTGATTTGGGGTTTTTGAAAATGGTGAATGTTGAGCCAGTTATGCCACAACGGGTACATGAATTTTCATGCCAAGGCGGTTCATTTCTTTTGTGTAATTTTGATCTTCTGCTAATTTCGATTGAATTCCAATAATTTTTTATTTGCTTAGTTTAATTTGTAGTTGTTCATTGAAAAAAGAGTAAAAAAAAAAAAAACAGATAGAAAAGAGACATGCTCCCATCCATTTCAGGAGAAAGAGAAACCTGTTGCGGAAGATGTTCAATAAGTTCGGAGCAACAGAGGAGACTAA